ATACTAAGAACTCTGAACAATTACCTATTTTTATTTCTGTTAAATTTTATTCTATTACTTTCAGTTCTTTTCTCTTTGGCTTGATCATATAGAATTTTATTTTTTCCTTCTACAAAATTGACGAACCCAATTCATCCCCAATATTTATAAGTTTGGATTGCAGTGAAATTAAAATATAATGAAATTGTAATGAAAAATGAAACTTATAGAAGACTATGGTGAGACCTCCAGGCTGAAGCACAGAAGCACAGAAGCATTTATACCTTCAACTGTAACAGAACGTGCAGTATGTTGCTCTCAATGGAAAAGTAGGGATAAATGCAGAGCTGTATCTGCCTTGAAAATCACCCATGTTGAACTGTGTAGCACAGTCAAACATGAGCACAAGAAACGTCTTTGGACATTTGTATTATGTATGTGATAAATTGATTTGTATTACTCCCATAAAATATTTTATAAAACTTAGATTTTGGACATACTGTATCCTATAAATTAGCCCTTCTTTGAAAAAGGTCCTACAGTGCAATGTTTTGCTCATTTAATGGCTATAAAGAGAGAATTTTAGTAGTAGATAGGAAAAAACTGTGATTGCATCCTGGTTTGTATCTGTGGGGACTGCTGTGTAAAAGTGTATGGAAGTAAAACAGGGAAGGGTGCTGTGGTTGGGGGGGACGGACAGGTGTGGTTCGTGCCTCAGTCTGATTGAAACGGTTATTTCAGTGTGAGAAGAGAAGGAACTTCTTGTAAAATTCTTGTAGGAGCCATCTATTGTCGATTTCACTTCCAGTCACCATTTGTTTGATGTGTAATTTAATCAGGTAAACCTGGCCATAATAAGGGATGTTCCTTCTTTTAATTACAGACCATTTTCTGTCAAACCCTCAATTGGGACTCTTGGAGTAAACGAAACCACGCAATTCACTATTGACTTTTATCCAGAAAAAAGTGGCAACCACTGTGAAGACCTTGTTATACATTATGATACAGGTGAGAACAGGGAAATCTTTTTTTTTTTTTTTCATTTATGGAATCCTGAAATTTCAGAGTCTTTGGATCCTAGCAGTGCATTCTGCAATTATTCCTTTTTTAATGCATAATACTAAAGTGACCTATGATTACCTTGCATTGCTGGATTAGATTTTCCTTGCAGCTGATGATACTGTAGATGAGCCATTCCCAATGAGAGAGAAACTCTGCCATCTACTCTGAGAACTTTTAGGGAGGAGATAACTTCACCCTCTTCTTCTCACACAATATACCAGCACTGAGCTGCCTCTTATTCCTCTGGAATGCACCCCTTCCCTCCAGGATATTCAAAGTACTTGGCTTACAATTATTTTGTTTAGTGACTGTTCAAAGTTAGAACAGCACTGAAAAAATGACTTATTACACTGTCAACTGTCTGACTATTGTACCCAAAATAAGAAAACACTCTCGGAAGCTTTGAATTCCTCAAGTAAAACTTTATTGGATACACCATTTTGGTATTGAAGAATCAAAACCAGCTCTGGTTTTCCCACACAA